CAGCAGACATCAGGACTTATTTTGTGCAAAAATATCGACAAGTCGATGAACATCATTTACAGATATATTGGGTAAATGCCCAAGACATCTATAGAAATGTAAATCGCCAATGCAAAGATTCCAACACTACGCATTCGCCTATGTATCATATCAGTCCTACCAGTTATTGTGTAATGGGCTGGGGGTCTGCACTATTGTCTGTTTTACATTTGTAAACATTTACATTTAAAAACAATATTTTTACATTGTTTAAGTCATTTTGGAATTGCACTGACTAAAATTAATAATTTAAAAACCTTTTCTGACTTCATGAAGACGTCTGACTTGTTCTCGACATTCGAATGGATGCTTTTATTTTGGAAGGAGAACTGGATTCGGCTTACAAAAGAGATTTCAACTTCCGGAAAGAATTGTGTTTCTCGTCGGTAAATAATTCACCTTCCTGGTTTGAAGGCTACCCTGCCAGGTAACTTTTCTGCTTTAAATGAACTTGTCATAAAGGATCTTGGGACAGTAAAGCTTCTAGATAATACTTCAGACTGATGAATTCGTAAATACTTTTATTATTAAGTTAATTCTCTGAAAATTGTCCCCTCCTCAGCGACAGCTCGGCGCTAGCTTAAAGGAAACGTTAGCAACCTGATATTATAGCACCTCAGACCAGCTCATTATAAGCGTTGTCGGAGAAGGTTACAATTAATGCTTTACTCTTTAAAAAGTGTAAGAAAGCGTACTGATACTGAGAATTTGTATCAAATCCTCTGTATTTTGGTGTTGTTTACATTTTGTGGTCCCTGTTTCGTCTGACGCTGTGCTAACGTTAATCAACATCCGTCTGGGAGCCTGGGCTAAACAGTAAAATGGTTAAATGTGTTGTGTGTGCAGTCAGTATTAGGGTTACATAAATCGTTATCCTGTCTGAAATAAGAATTGCCGTCGTGCTGTACTTGTCCGGAGACGTACAGCTAAACAAGTTTAGCTACTTCTTTTGTTTCCTTGTTGTTATTTTTTTGGTCAGTAACACAGGGTTTTCATGCGAAGCTCACATTAATGTCTTTTGTTTTCTTAGAAGTACTAGACGTATTAATTGCTTCGTGAGTGCTAATTATTGAGCTGTTGAAGCCCTATGAAATGACAAGTAGTTGGGTTTATGGCATAGATGAGTTATTGAGAACCTCTTAAGAGGTTTCATTTAGAGTGAAAGTAGGAAATCAGCAGCATTTATCTGTAATAAAGTGATTTTTTTCTAACCAGTTTTGTTAAGCGGGGCTCATTTCCTGAAGCACAGTGGACATTTTGTTTATCAGAAGTGCAGAAATAACCGTTAAACTTTAATCAAAAAACAAGGCATCACAGACAGATTGCGTTCATTGTTCACTTTGTTTTTCTACAAAGGCTTATTCTCAGTTAGGCATAAACCTGAAGCAAGGCAATGCAGACTATTTATACTAAATGTTTTATAGTAATATAATATAGCAGCTTACTAATAGTGACACAGTAACATGGAAACAGAAACTTCACTTACAAATGAGGTCAATTGAAGCAAATTGGACTGATGGCTTTATTTTACTGCAGGCACAAAAAAAAGAAAAGTGTTTAACATCAGCTTCAGCGTTCATAGGATATACCCTTCATTTGATAAATGTAAACTTAACATGTTACATTCAAATGCTGCTTATTTAAATATGTAGGTTAAAGTCAGTCACCTCTTTTCTCCTTACTGGCAGGCTCTGCTTTTGTGTTCTCAGTTACTTAAAGCTGATCCCCTTTCAGACCAGGTTTTAGGTGACATCCCTGGTCTAGAGCTCCATATTAGTTGACATACTTGTCAGGTTCTAAATACAAAACACAACATATCCTGATTTTCTTTGTTTAGTTCTTTTAAATATTCCGAATTCAAGTCGTGGACAAAGCAGTTCATTTTTATTTCTTCCGGTTGTGCTCTGGGTGCTTCGAAATTAGTCTTTTATCCTGTACAACAGAGATATCAGCCAATAATACTGTTGGCCTCTTGCCTCCACAGTTATCATCTCATAATTAATTCTAGCTCATTTGCATTGTGAGGCATTTTTGTCTGTAGATAACGTAATATCAGTCTTATCATAGATATTCGTTATTTAATTGTGGTTGTTTTTACTTTTCTTTTATTAGTTTATTATTTTTCTTGCAGTCTTTAGTTGTGTAGTTTTAATCACTGAGTGTTTCGAGGACTGAAGAGAACTGGAGTCAGACTACATGAAGGTGTTGACATACTTGGATTGTAAAGCTGATTGCAATTCTGGTGCCCCCCAGGAGGAAATTCAAGTATACCATCTGAAGCAGAATACATCGACTGTGAGTGGATCATCAGGCAGTCTCCCTATGTCAGGCCGAAACGGGTCTGCCAGTGATGCAGACTGCCGGATCTCTGAGGACTGCCAGGTCCCAGATGTTGAGCTGATGGAGCTGGGGCCATTGTTGGAAGAGGGAGGGGCGCGGCAGGGAGTATCCAAAAGTGTCCATCCTGAGGTAGGACTGTTTCAGAATAAGCAACAAAGAAAGAAGCTGTTATTTCTCTGTAACTTCAGTAGTGTCATAACCTCTTTAAAGGGAGCCGCAATGCTTGCTGATGAGGAAGAGGAGGATGATGAGGTGGGTGAGGTTCTGACCTTACCGCTACAGGCTCACCATGCTATGGAGAAGATGGAGGAGTTTGTACATAAGGTAAAACAAAAAAAACAAAATTGTCTTTTAATGCTTAAACAGAACTCGTTGAGGGAAAAAGACTAATGAATTGGCTTATTAAGAATATGTCAGTGTTCTTAATAAATCACAAGAAACTGTGTTCATTAAGTAAGTAGTCCACACAAGAGCAATGATGAGCACTTCTTTTTTTGTACTGAAAAATGTCTTTCATATCTAGGTCACAGTTCTGTAACAACACATTTACAGAGTTTTTGTTTTTTATAATAATATTGGTCTGTTTAATTTTGTCTTCAAACTCTCAGACATCTTTCCATATTTGGTTTTTGTTTTTTTGTTTTTAATTCATACACAATCTTTAAAATGCTGAATATAACTCCTGTATTGTTTTTCATTTTTCTGTGTGTTTTATTTGAAGACAATAAACTCAGAATTTATGCCTCTCTGAGCTAAAGTTATTCTTGTTTTTCAGGTCTGGGAGGGGCGCTGGAGAGTAATCCCTTTTCATGTCCTGCCAGAGTGGCTGAAGGACAATGATTACCTCCTGCACGGACATCGACCACCCATGCCATCCTTCCGGGCCTGTTTCGGAAGCATCTTCAGAATTCACACTGAAACAGGAAACATCTGGACTCACCTGTTAGGTGAGCGTTACAAACTGATTAGCAGCAGATAAAATTTTTCATTATGGTCAAAAATACTTTCATCTGAGTCATTCTGCATATTTCCCGCCTGTTTTGTCTTTCTCAGGGCTGATCTTATTCCTGTGTCTGGGCACATTAACCATGCTGCGGCCCAACATGTATTTTATGGCCCCACTGCAAGAGAAGGTTGTGTTTGGGATGTTCTTCCTGGGTGCTGTGCTTTGCCTCAGCTTCTCCTGGCTTTTTCATACGGTCTACTGCCACTCTGAGAAAGTGTCTCGCACATTCTCCAAGTAAGGCCTCACACTGTCAAACGGTGCTTTGCACATCATGAACGATTAATTTCTGTCAGACTAAATAAAATTTCATTTGTTTATGGAGGCTGTTAAAGTTCAGTCGCATCTTCAAATCACACATGCAACTCGTACTTGTTGCCTTGAGTGTTGTGTAATGTTGATTAAATATTTATAACGCTATGCTAAATCCTCTATAGTTTTTGTTTAATCATCAAGTGACTTTAGTATTTATTTTAAAACATGTTTCTGTTTGGATGTTTAACTGATACACACACACACACACACACATATATTACTGTAAGAACAGGGGGAGCTAGTGATTTGATGCCAACCCTTTTTGTCCATGTTCCAAGGGTCATTTAACAAGAACCTGACCCCAGAGTTTGTCAGTGCTTTTATTGATCTGTGGTTAAAGATGCAGAGTATTTATTGTGGCAGACTTGAAGCATCACTATACTTAATATACCCACAGCTCATGTTTACATGGCAGTTATCATATTTCAACAATATGTTTTGAATAGACCTGGAAACAAAGTTCTGTTGTTTTCCTTTTTCAGAAACATGAAAAAGTTTTTAGTTTTTGCTTCTTCTAGATTATGGGTGTTGCAGCTTAAGGCCTGGGGCCCAGAATCAGTCCGCAAAAGACCCCAATCTAGCCCACCTGATGGCTTTGAAAAATGTGAAGCACAGAATGCATTTTAGACTTTTAACTGTATTTTCACAGGTTTTACATCCTTTCCTACTGATAAAGACCTCCACTATATCCATTCATACTACACCAAAGTAACTAAGTAATAGATAAACAATTAAATGACAGAAAGTTCCTGTTTTTTCACTGTCTACTAACAAAATGTATGATTTTGTTTGAGGGTTTGTTTGGGGATTTTTTTGTTTTTTGTTTTTTTACATTGGGTTCGCCGTAAAAGGAAAAAAAGAGGACATTCTCTCAGTTAACAAAAATTATCTGTTTTATTATTGCAGGACAGTCTGCGCAGTGAGCTAACAGAACTTTTTCTGTAATTTTACAGATTTATTTGTTACAATTTAAGACCAAAGCAGCATTTCGTTCTCATCTAGAAAAACTTAGAGGCAACTCTGAACTTGCACTTTTTTTTAATATTAAAATATTTCAAAACTTTCTAAACCGACAGAAAGAGGAGTGAAACTGGTGCGTTCCACTTAAGATCAAAGTGGGCTGTATGTGGTCGGCAGTGTAAAATGAGTTTGATATTTCTGTTGTAGGTCTTCTATACAAACACTCATTTTCTCTCCTCAGGCTTGACTACTCGGGGATCGCCCTCCTAATCATGGGCTCCTTCGTGCCCTGGCTGTACTACTCATTCTATTGTTCCCCTCAGCCTCGCCTTATCTACCTCACCATTGTATGTATCCTCGGCATTGCCGCCATCATTGTCGCCCAGTGGGACCGATTCTCTACACCTCGTCACAGACCTACAAGAGCAGGTGGGCGCCAGTAAAAGAACATACACACTGTTTACACTTGCAGCAGTTTGTTTTGGTTGCAGTTTTATCACACCTCCATTTATTCCTCTTCTGAGCAGTGGGGATATTTTCAGGAAACTAATGACATGTAACTGCAATCCATGTTTCTAGGCGTCTTCATGGGTCTCGGACTAAGTGGCATTGTTCCCACCATGCACTTCACCATTGAGGAGGGCTTTGTTAAGGCAACCACAGTCGGCCAGATGGGTTGGTTCTACCTGATGGGGGCCATGTATATCACTGGCGCTGGTCTGTACGCAGCCAGGATCCCTGAACGCTTTTTCCCTGGCAAGTGCGACATCTGGGTAAGTTTTTCCTCCCTCAAACATGCACGCAGTCAGTAGTAGTCTGAGCAAGTTCAAAGCTCAGTATTTACAGTCTATTGTAGGTTTAGAAGGGAGTGAGTGACTAAAGGAACAGTTATACTCAGCAGTAGCCTCTGGATGTATCTTTGGTAGTTTGTTTAAATACCAAGCAAATGATAATAAATGCTGCTAATATGCACATCTTTCTTTCTGTCAGTTCCATTCTCATCAGATTTTTCATGTTCTGGTCGTGGCAGCAGCGTTCATCCATTTCTATGGCGTTTCCAACCTGCAGGAGTTCCGATACGGCCTCGAGGGAGGATGCACAGATGACTCTCTGCTCTGAGAGGCTTGACTGTGACTTAAACTTTTCTCTATAGCCCCCTCTTTCTCTCTCTCACACACACACACACAAACACAAAATGCTGCTGGAATTCAAAACGGTCACTTATTCCTCCTTCTATACTTCTGATGTTTTTTAACATCTTGTTTGGGTTTTTTGTGATCTTTCTGCTTTGGCTCCTTTTTGCTTCAATAAAGTAGCATTAACTAGCCAATGTACCATGGTGGAAACAGGCGCTACTTGTTAATAAAATTGTTATTAAGCTTAAAATCTGCATTTTCAGCTAAGATAAAGGTGGGATTTTAGCCCAAAAAAAGTCATGTATTCCTGAAACTGCAGCTTACTAGTACCCCAGCCACTTTGTCATTTGTCACCAATTTGTGCTGTAGAAAAAGGCACATACTGTAAACCATTCCTTTCCTATTTTCCATGGAAGCTAGTAGATGAATGTGCTGTCCAGCAAGAGTTTGGTGTAGAGCAACTGAAGACAGCTTAGCTGGTTGGGAGCATCTAGTTTTCGGCATGGTTGTCAGCACTTGTTTTTTGTTTTTGTTTGTCTGTTTTGGTGTGTGTACCGGCACATATTCATTTATCTGTTACATAAGCCCACTCAGCAATAAACCACAAGTTTATCTGAAAGCCCGGTCAAAGCTTAAGTGTTACGTTCTTGTGTGGTTTTAGGGTGACTTTGAACCATATGCCTGGAGGAGGAAAACTGCCTCTTGGCTAACTCCAGCTCATCTACAGCTCATTTGTTCATGTGGAGACTCCCTGCTCAGCAAACGGATAAATAATTTTTGAATAAAGCTTAGAGCTTAGGCCCCATAAATAAGAGCTACGCACAGTAAGTGTCTGAATAACACATGGATTAAAGCTAATCAGATCCTCACAGGGTTGGATGTTTCTTTTCTGCTTCTGTTGCGTCGTTTAAATCAAGAAAAATCCCAAATGGATCATTTTCAAATCATTTAACGGCACAGAAAAGCCCTAAGAGTTTGTAGCTGCTGTATAAAAATAAATCAGCTTAGTTCAGGTTAAACTAAGATGCTTGAAACATTGAGGTGACAAGAACTACCCAGTCATTATTTATCAGTCACCCAGCACTTCATGGATTCATTTCTAGAGTTAGTTCCTGGGCTACGCACAATGTACAGATATGGATTGGTTCAATTGCGTTTTTGTCAGAGGTTTTTCTTTTGTGCTAGATCTCAAATGAAGTGAGAGGTATAAATATCAAATACACCTTAGCGTACATTATTAAATTAAAAAACTTAGAATCCATATGAGGAAACATGCTCTGTATAAAGTTTTAGTATTCCTGTGCCTTAGGCCAATGGAAATGTTTTTAAATAAAATGGCCTATCTTAAGAGTCAAGGGAGTATCAAGGATTTCCAGATGTTGATTTTTCTTGTTTTTCCTTGCCATATATATATATATATATATAAATAATTCTTTTCTTTTTTTTCCTTCTCCCAATCGAATCATTACTGGATTTGCATTACACTTACACTTCCATTGATAGGTTGTATGAACTTCAATTTAAGACTCCTTTTTCTAGATGAACTTATTCAAGCTTTATTACAAAGACTAAAACAATGTGTATTCTTGACTTTGTGTAATGTCCTGTGTAGAAAGTGATAAATCATACATTTCACAGAAATGTAAACCTAAATATTTATTAATGGTAATCTTGGAAAATTATTGTAATAAATTCTTTTCCACACGTGAAAATGTGGTGTCCAGTTTTCTCCAGTGTACATTTTAAAGGTTCAGGGACTACAAGCAGCTGATTACATTAACATACATTCAGCAGGTTCAGCATCAGTCACAGGAATGTATGACTTGAAAATTCAAATGACACATCACCAGTTTAAAAAATGAAGACAAACGCATTCATGGTCTACTTCTTCTCAGTTATGTCGAGAATATAATCTGTACCATGTTTCAGTGCTTTCCTTTGTGGTTTGATGTTTGTTCAAACATAATTTGATTGTATCATGTCGTCAGTGGTACAAATTAAATGTAAACTGCTGTGTTAGCAAAACTGCACTCCTGAACACACTTAATGTTTTTAATTCACAAATGAAGCCTCAAACTTACTGAAGGTGATAAATGTTTAGCTATAAAGTATATGCAGTTTGACATGTTTTGTTTTGGGGGGGTGCGGGTGCGATATTGTACTACGCAGGAGCCTAAAATATTAGTTCTTTTTCTCAGGTCAGCTGCATGTCAGCAGGGATACTTAGTAGATGTAATTTGTTTACTTTATAGTACTCCTACAAATATTTTATATGTAACCCTCTTTTTTATTTTATCCATCATTTGCTAGCTATAATTATACTGCAGCACTGACTCAAAGAAAAATACACCTGTAATAACAGAATGTTATTTTTGTGTTCTGATTGTATTTTTTAAACCCTGTGGCTTGACTAGTTCAGTTTCTTTTTACAATGTTAACATTTCATGACAATTTTAAACTGCATTTCAAAACACAAGTCAAAACTCCATTAGGATTCCTAAGGTAAATTTGAGAGCCAAAGGATTTTATCCTCATCTGATCTTTTAAGATTTATTTCATAAGGATTGTCATTTGATTCAGCATATATGAGTGCATCTTATCCCATAGTTTTTCTTTTAAAGTTATAGTACGAAGTACTAGATAAGATCTACAAAAGTACTACATGAGATGGTAATAATGTGGTAACAAAAAGCATTCATGTTAAGGAGCAGCATGAAACTGCATGTACATCATCGTGACTTAGCTAAAAATAGGCAATATTGCAAAGAGAATTCGAATCATTTGAAGATATTGATCATTAGCTGGGATATTATACACCAGAGAAATGATTACAGAAAGAGAAGGTGGAGGTGGTTGAAGTCGGTGTCTATTGAGGTTCAGTGTTAAGGTATTCGTTAAGTAGCTCCATCTCAGTCTGTTTGTCCTACCACAGGGCAACACACATGGTGAGAGGGATTTCAGGCAATTGAATTATTTATACAGGAAATTACCTCTGACGGCTCACTTGCAAGATCGCGGCCCACACATTGGAAACAAGGTTATTATAGTTAACTAAAATAAAAACTAAGTGAAATGATTTGGGGAAAACTAACTTGGGCAAGCAGATACTTGTTAATTTGTTATGATAACTGATGAGGCTTTATTATAATACCTGTACTGATTTTCCTAATATTCAATACTCAAGTAGGCTCTGGTATACATATGAAGGAGTATCATTTTGAAAATAAAGTCAAAATGTGGAGATTACAGTTTTTGTTTTAAGACAAACTGCCACGGCTGTTATACCCTCTACAAAATGCCTTGTGTAGATGGGATAGTGAAATCTTACTTCGGATTCGGTTTTAGTTACAAGGAAATTGTGGCGGTAAGTATAAAGAAACTGAAGAGAGAAAGCAGAAAGCTGCATCTGGTGGCCGGATTTATAGAAAATGAAATGGCTGGCAATGGTCAGATGCAAGGATAGCCATAATCCACCCGCTTTGGACTCGATGATCACAACCTGTATGTTGTAACACAGGACACGATAAGACAACTGATCATTTTGTTTCACTAACTCATCTACACGTTTTGTAGAGGGCATAGGAGCCGTGGCAGCTGTTTGGCTTAAAATGACAAATGTAATCTCTTCAGTTCGTGTTTGTTTGTTTGCTATTTCGAGTTTAATCTCAAAATCTTGACTTTAATATTTAAAATGGACACTATTTTTTAATGTGGTCCTAATACTTCTTCGTACGGAAAGTAACCTAAACTAAGCTGATTTGTTTTTGTTTGTTTGTTTGTTTGTTTGGTTGGTTAGGTAAACAGTGAAGAAAAAACAACATAAAATAAAATCTAACTGGGAACCAAGTCACAGCTCCGTGTTTCAACACGGGAGCATTTACTGGTTGGCACACAGAGACCCAGATTGTTTGCCTAGCTTGGGCTAGCTTGCTTGTCTCATGCAGTTTTGTTCAGAGCATCTTCTGCAGCATATAGGTACGCGTTATTTGACTTAATTTAAAATGCATGTGTCTAAAACATATGTCTCTGCTCTGTAGGTTTATGTCTGTCAGTGTCAGATCCGGAGTTAGCGCACATGAAGATACAGGTCATCCCATTGGACTGCATTAGGTTAAAATTATCTTTTTAAATGTATTTTTTAAGCTGTGGTTTAGGAATATGTGTGACCTGTATTTGGAACGTAAAGAAAAATGAATTAGGATTAGGGACTTCCGCACGGCTCGTAATTCCGGTGCACCCTTTCTGTTCGTTCCCTCCCTTTATTCTTCTTTTTTTTTTTGTTTAAGATCGCACTTTAGTTAACATCATCTCCTTAACCGTTACAGTTAACGGAGATCTCTTGGACCAGCCTGGTTTTCTTGGTGGAAGTCTCCCCTGAGCCTCTTTGTGCTCGTTCGTCCGAGTAAACCTGCTCTTCTTTGGGGATCGACATGGATCAGGAATCGAAAGAAAGCACGGACCGATCCAGCCTGGTTTCTGATGACGGCAAAAACAGCAAGTCTGTGCTGTGTCAACGCTGCGGGTCCAAGGTGCTCTGCCCCGGTACGGCCGTGTTAGCGGAGAAGGAGGTATGGCGCATGCATTCAGTCTCTTTTGACATTGATCGTTTTAATATCAGTGAGTTCCTGTGTGCTTCAAAGGATAATAAAGCCAAACCAAAGTGCTGCTGAAACAAACCAATCAGAGGCAGATATGCACTCACTGGTCATTTTATTAGGTACAACTTGCTAGGACCAGGTTCGACCAGTTTTTGTCTTTAGGACTGCATTAATTCTTTGTGGCAGAGATTCAACAAGGTGGAAAAATTCCTCATGAGATTTGGGTCCATATTGACATGAAAACATCACACAGTTGCTGCAGATTTGTTGGCTGCAGATCCATGATGTGACTCCTGTTCCACCACATCCCAAAGGTGCTTTTTGGGAGATCCAATGACAGTGGAGATGATTTGAGTACAGCAAATTCATTTTTATGTTTAAGAAATCAGTTTGAGTTCATTTGAGCTGTTACATTGAGTGTTATCCTGCTGTAAGCCACAATCAGAAGATCAGTAGGTGTTGTGCGTTCAGATTCTCTTCTGCATTCTTATGCTCAGTTTAAACTTCAGCAGGTTGTCTGCTGTCAGGTACATGTGATTGGTTGATTAGCTATTTGTATTAATGAGCGATTGAACAGATGTACCTAATAAAAAATGACCAATGATTGTAAACACCAAAGTCATTATGGTACTGTAGTTCTTGCTAATTTTAGACCTGTTTCCAAGCTTCCGTTTCTGTCAAAATTTTTAGAAAGGATTGTATTTGAGCAGCTACAAACCTTTCTAAATAGTCATAATATTTTTGAGAAGTTCCAGTCGGGCTTCAAAACCCACCACAGCACAGAAACTGCCCTCCTAAAAATACTTAATGATATTTTATTAATCACTGACTCAGGAGACCCAGCTGTGCTCCTGCTCCTAGACTTAACTGCAGCCTTTGATACTGTTGACCACATCATTCTGAACTCCCGTTTGGAGCAATGTGGTATCAAAGGTATCCCCTTGGAATGGTTTAGACCGTACCTCTCCGAGAGGACTTTTTCCGTGAGCCTTGATGATTTTATTTCTTCTCCAGCTCCTTT